CATCTCAGTATGTTTAAAACCGAACTTTGGGTGATACCCATAAATCTGCATTTTAGCGATGGGGACCCCTCAGGCAGAAAACTAGGAAATACCTTGGCTCTTTTTACCTAATGCCTTTCTCCCTTCTAATGTATCACCAAGACCCCTTGATTTCTGTCGTCAAATTAAATCTCAGATTCATCTACTTCCTATCTTCTTGCCCCTGTCGAGGGGCAGCTAAGCTGCGCCTCTGGGTTTCACTCTTGGCCCCTCCCAGGCGATTTTCCATACAGCAGCCACGGTCATCTCGTCATTTCCAAGGCAGAGCCTTTCGTAGGCTTCCCATCGCTCTGGGATAGGTTTTTTCCTGTCTTAGTATTTTTTTCCGCTGTGGTCCAGCCACAACTGGAAGAGTCCGTCAGACTCCCCTGCCGGCCCCTGGTAACGTTCTTCCGTCCGCTTATACTCTCTGCCTGCTTATTTTTTAGCTCAGAGAACAGCTTGTTCTCTTTCCCTCCGAAGTGTGCTCTGTCATGAGTTCCTGTACTTGCTCTTCCCGCCCGTCAGCACAGTTTCTGTGTTTGTGGGACTTGGGCCAGAAGCTCTGAAGGCAGAGCCTGAAGGATATGCTTGGCTTCGCAGCCGCTGCCCGTCCTGCGGCGTGTGGCCCAGAGCATTTGTCACGGTTTATAGACAGCTTTACCTTGGGGTTCGTCTTTGTCTTATTTTTAAAAAAGCCCTTTGAGTGACAAGTGAAATCGTTTTAATAATCTATAACGTGTTGACTTTTTCAAATCTGTGTCCCTTCCCCGTAGCCTGCTTGTGATTTCTGTCCTGTGCCCTCCTCCTGGCAGCTTCGCCTGATTGACACGGGGGCTTTGGACGCATCTTTTGAAAACCAGACTCTACTTTCTCGTCCTGCCCCATAACCTGTTAGTTTTTGTTTTACGCCGGGAGTCACTGGCTGAACCTCCCTGTCACCAAGCCGTAAACTGGGACTTCTCTGTTCAGAACATCTGTTCGCATCAGATACGCTCCTGTGCCTCCAGTTACTGCTTCCTCGCCTCATTCCTCTATCTTTCCAGTGCGGTGCCCACATTGACATCGGGGCATCCTTTTGAAAACACGGATAATACTCTTACTTAAAAATGTTAAACTTCTTGGGGTGCCTGGCCGGCTCGGTCAGTAGAGCATGTGACTCTTGATCTCGGGGCTGTGAGTTTAAACCCCACTTTGTGTGTGGTGTCTACTTAAATAAAAATAAATAAATTGGGGTGCTTGGGTAGCACAGTCAGTTGAGGTCACGATCCCAGGGCTGTGGGATGGAGCTGTGTTGGGTACCACACAGAGCGTGGAACCTGCTTAAGATTCCCTCCCTCTGTCCCTCTCCCCCACTCGTGCATACTCTCTAAATTCATTATTAAAAATAAATAAAAATATTAAATTTCTTAACGGGCCCGAGACACTTTAACATCTAACTCTACAAAACGTTCATTTTCTGTTCCTACTAGTCATTTTTTTTAATTAAAAAAAAAAAAAAAAAACTTTTTTTAAGTTTGCTCATTTTTTTTTTTTTTTTTAATTTTTTTCTTAATGTTTATTTATTTTTTTTGAGACCGAGAGAGACAGAGTATGAACGGGGGAGGGTCAGAGAGAGAGGGAGACACAGAATCCGAAACAGGCTCCAGCCTCCGAGCTGTTGGCACAGAGCCCGACGCAGGACTTGAACTCCCGGACCACGAGATCACGACCTGAGCCAGAGTCGGACGCTCAACCGACTGAGCCACCCAGGCGCCCCAAAAGTTTGTTCATTTTGAGAGACAGAGACAGAGCATGAGTGGGGAAGGGGCAGAGAGAGAGGAGACACAGAATCTGAAGCAGGGTCCAGACTCTGAGCTGTCAGCACAGAGCCGGATGTGTACCTTTTTGAACGTTTGAATGCGAGATCATGACCTGAGCCAAAGTCCGATGCTCAACCAACTGAGCTACCCAGGCGCCCCTGTTCCTACTAGTCATTTCTACTCTGGACTCCTCTTGACTCCAGACCTTCATGCTTTCCTTGCCTCACCTGGCAGGCTGCATGTTGCTTCCCAATCATCTCTGCGTTCCGTTGTAGCTAATGCTTTTCCAGGGTATGGTTGACAGTGTTTCCCTGCCAGATCCTTAAAGGCAGGGATGCCATTCCTTGGTTCTCAGGAACTCACATTGGGGTGGGGGAGAACTAAGTGGTAATTTTAATTTCTTGGACTTTTCTGTAAGTTGATTTAAATTTTGGTCACAGAAGGGAAAGAGTGTTTGATGTAATTTAATCTGCAGTTATTTTATGTGAAGTATTTAATGGAAATTGGAACTAGATTAACCACACAGAAGATAACTTTGGGTTATTACCCAAATGCTTCATCTCTGTAGAGAATCTGATATCACCAAGGAGCGGATTCAGAAGATCCTGGCAACTGGTGCCAACGTTATTCTAACCACCGGTGGAATTGACGACATGTGTCTGAAGTATTTTGTGGAGACAGGTGCTATGGCAGTTCGAAGAGTTTTAAAAAGGGACCTGAAACGCATCGCTAAAGCTTCTGGAGGTAAGTCCTCTGCTCGCTCCCAACTGCGGCGCGTCACGTTACCGTATATGAGATAGTCTCTCTTTACGTTGGAATGTTATCACTAAGCAGTTTCAGAAGCAGTGGTTTTTTTACATCTTACTCCTTTAATGCCTTATGCTACAAATACGTCTCATAGAGCCATTTTCCACGTTACTGGAAAAGCTCTTTAACTTACTGAATGTGTTGACCTCAGAAGGTCATGGTTCCGTGTTAGGCTGAAAGGACAGTGGTTTATCTGATGCCTGTCTATACGTTGCTCTTATCATAAATGTTTCTGAATTTGGGACAGCATATGAAAGTGTTCATGGGAAAAGTGTTTACAGATCTTTGTCATCATCTTCATAGCGACTATCTTGTCAACCCTGGCCAATTTGGAAGGAGAAGAAACTTTCGAAGCTTCAATGTTGGGACAAGCAGAAGAGGTGGTACAGGAGAGAATTTGTGATGACGAACTGATCTTGATCAAAAAGTAAGAGCTGCTTTCTCAATCAAGCTGCACGGGTTTTATTAGTAAGGGAACAGATCGCCTTCCCATTGATTTGCTGCTCTAGTCTTTCAGTGATCAGAGCAGTTATACGCGTGGGAGAGAACAATAGTAGGCCGTGCGCTACCACGAGATGGAGTAACCATTTCATCTCTTCTGCGCGGTCCAGACACTGCCTCTGTGTCTGGGTGAACCACGTGAGCAGGATTTCCAGTCGAGGTGCTTACGGTGGGTTTCTTTGTAGACGTCTATGAAAATATATTAAGAATTTCACTTTACTTTTTTAAATAGCACTAAGGCTCGTACGTCTGCATCAGTTATCTTACGTGGGGCGAATGATTTCATGTGCGATGAGATGGAGCGCTCTTTACACGATGCTCTTTGTGTGGTGAAGAGAGTCTTGGAGTCCAAATCTGTGGTTCCTGGCGGAGGTGCTGTAGAAGCGGCGCTTTCCATATACCTCGAAAACTACGCAACCAGCATGGTGAGAACACGTAGAATTGTGCTTTCTTTTCAAGAAGGGCAGGGGGGGGCACCATCTTTGGCTTTTTGTGGATGCACCTTCCCTGATGGGGCCCCTGGGTGGCTTGGTCCGTGGAGCGTCGGCATGTAGATTTTAGCTCAGGTCATGATCTCCCGACTTGTGGAGACGAGCGCTGCCTCGGGCTCTGTGTTGACTCCCGAAGCCCGCTTGGGGTTCTCTCACTCGCTCTGCCCCTCCCCAGGTAGCGCACGCTTTCTCTTTTAAAATAAGATAAACGTTCAAAAGTACATAGACTCTTCTCGGTCCTCTGCTGCCGCTGTGGGTCTTAAGACCCTTTGCTGTCTTTCTTCTCAGGGGTCTCGGGAGCAGCTTGCTATTGCGGAGTTTGCAAGGTCTCTTCTTGTTATTCCTAATACACTGGCCGTGAATGCTGCCCAAGACTCCACAGATCTGGTTGCAAAGTTAAGAGCTTTCCATAATGAGGCTCAAGTCAACCCAGAACGCAAAAATCTAAAATGGTAAGCATACAATTTCCCTTTTTCACGGTCATCTGTGTATCGTGTATGGCACTTTAGCTTTGTTTTAAACCGATAAAAGATGATGACTAGTGATTAGCATTGGTGTATTTTAGTTAGCAGCTCAGAGTCCCAGCCTCTCCCTGCTTCTCTGGACAGTCACTACACCTGCACAAAGGTCCCACAGAGGCCAGGGGATTATTTTTGGGTCATCCGTATCTTCTTGAGGAGCCCCTGTTTAAGATACTGAATGATGTTGGGAGCCCAGTATCTATCTAAGCTTTTCTATGACTCGGTACTTATTTTGTTACTTACAGTCAACTACTGTAGTCTTAAGGGATCTATCCTGAGGTCCCTACAATCCCCAAGATTAACATTTGAATGGCGAAGCCATTCATCTCTTAAAGAGATGAGATGGGATAGGTGTGCATTATGTAAGAAATCACTTAATGGTTTTTTGGTTGGTTTTTTTTTGTTTTTTTTTTTTTGCAGGATTGGTCTTGATTTGGTCAATGGTAAACCCCGAGACAACAAACAAGCAGGAGTATTTGAACCAACCATAGTGAAAGTTAAGAGTTTGAAATTTGCAACAGAAGCTGCAATTACCATTCTTCGAATTGATGATCTTATCAAATTACACCCAGAAAGCAAAGATGATAAGCATGGAGGTTATGAAGATGCCGTTCACTCGGGAGCCCTTGATGACTGATCTCATTTCTCTTTTATTTATAACAATGTTAGACGCAGTTATCTTGTTATCTTGAGTATTACACATTAATAAAAATAACAAGCTGTCAAGCCTTGGGTTCTTACGAAAGATGGTTTCCATCCTCACTTTGGTCCTCTGATTTCACATATTACAATTTAGTACCTTGTTAGCATAAGAAGAGATGAGGTTTCAGTTTAGTTTGGGCATGATTCATTAAGCAATTTCATCCTCTCTGAACACACATTGCTATTCCCATCCCACCCCCAATGCATAGGGCAGCCACACCACGATGTCCACCCTTTCGCTCCATTGTGTGTAACAGGGTAACAAGAATCCGACAGCCAGATGCTCCAAGAGGGTGGCCCAAGGCTATCGCCCCTCCTTGAATGTTGACCTAAGGGGGGAAAAATATATACCGTTATTCTGTGGACATAGGGTAAAAAGTTTTGTGGGGTTTTTTTAATAGTTATTTAGAACATGTGAGGGGGGGAGGGGCCAAGAGGGAGAGAGAAACCCAAGCAGGCTGGGTGTGGAGCCTGACTCCAGGCTTGATCCCACAACCGTGATTTCATGACCTGAGCCCAAATCAAGTCTGAGGCTTAACCTACTGAAACCACCCAGGTGCCCCAGGGCTAAAAATCATAAATTATCTTCACCCTTTTAACATGACACCAGTAAACTATCCTTTCAAATTCCACTTTCATTTTTACTGTTCAGGTATACTGTTTATACCCCTGTGACATCCACCCTATCTCACTAGTTTAGAAGAGTCAATGCTCTGTTGGTGTTAGAAGTAAACTAATACACAGTCCAGGGTTTTTGCCTCGGGAAGCAATAAAAGAACTCCCCAGCCCTAGCAGGCACTTACCCAGGATCCACCCACAAGTTAGTTATTGGCCGGTTGGCCAATACCAGGGATACTGTGGAACAACTATACGTGGGTTTTGCTGTTTGCAATCTTAAAATTGCATTGTGAGAGTTCACTTGTGAGCTATCCCCACGACTGCTTGCTCGGGTTTACCTTCTCTGTGTTTAATCCAAGTTCTTTAGCTACTGCAACAGACAGGGCTGCAAAGGCTTCATTGATTTCAAATATGTCCACATCCTCCAGTGACCAACCTGCTTTTGCAACCTGAAGGAAAGATGAATGGAATAGAGGTCTGAACACTCAGGTGGAGCCTTCCTTCATTGTAGATACTCAAAAGAATAGACTGATACTGAAGGATCTCTTCTGGGATGTTCCAGCAGGGGCCTAGTGGTACCACATTTTGCCTCGGTGACACCAGTTCCAAAACATGAAGGATCAAACATCCCTTGGAGATTCTAAAGTTAAAGTTTTGAAGCAGTAACGGGTTACACGTAGGTGACATGATCTAGGGGATTATCAGTTACCCCTAAAAGGCATATGACCCAAATGTTCTCGGCTGCTCTTTGTGGTGGACTAGAGGTAGAGCTGCAGGAATATGCTCGCATAAGGCTAGGGAGGAATTCCATTAAAGGGAAAATGAGATCTGATAAGAATAAAAAGGAAAACAAAACCAGGCTCGATCTTGACATTTTGGAGTGGAGAGGATCTGAGCCAAGGTTTACAGAGGACAGAATAACGGAATTACAGGGTGTTGGTCTGGTCCCAAAGAGGTTCGTTCAACCAACAAAGCAAAGGACAGGTGCTAACATTCAGAACTAGACTCACAGCTTGCTTTATCGCCGGAATTGGTCCTGTCCCCATAATGGAAGGCTCCACACCTACTTGTGACCAGGAAACTATCTGTGCTAAAGGTGTAAGCCCTCGACTGTCGGCCTCTGACTTCTTCATAAGAACCACAGCGGCAGCACCATCATTTATTCCTGTAAAATATGAAAGTCTGGAGTTTTGAGATGCTCATTGAGTTACATGCCTGTGTCTACTTTCTGACACGTGAAGACGTGTTAAATTATTCTTAATACATCTTGGCAAATTCATTGGCTGTAATTCCTATTTACAATGTAATTGGCAATGGTAAGTTTGGTAATATGAATATGACATAATTGACCACAGAATGTTCTAACTGAGGAAAGCTGGGGGAGGGGAGGGTAAGAAAAGAAATGGAAGAAATAGTCTTCATTTCATGGGAGGTACTGGGAGTTGCTGGTTTTGGAAAAGCACAGAGGTAGTAAATTCTGGGGTTCCCTAATTTGCTTTTTCGCCTGTGTCTAGTGAGGATGTCAGGGAGTCAAATCCATTCTTTCACATATACATTAAGTCAAAAATGTAAACACTTAGTAATGATCAAATACAGAGAAACTAGATTTTCCCTTAGAGCAACTAAAGGTTTTAGGATCATTTGTATACAAAAAAATAATTGAAACGAAGAAGGCATTAAGTTGGTGGGGCCTAGCAGAAGACGGTTTTCCCCCAACTGCCCTTTGGCAAATCTGACCTGAAGCATTAGCTGGGGTGACTGTTCCTGTTCCATCTTTGAGAAAGTAAGGCTTCAAGTTAGATATGGCTTCTATGTTGGTCCCATGGCGAGGAAACTCATCTGTTTTCACTTCGGTAAGACCTGAACAAGGAAAATCAATTCCCCAAGATTACCACAGAGATGGCAGTTGGCGTACTAGGAATGGTGGAGTCCTGAGACATGATGCATGAAGATTCATACTTGGAAGGAAGGCTCATCAAAAATACTTTTATTCCAAGAGGAAAGTACACACTAATAAAAAAAGTGTGTGTTCGAACATTTTATAAGCACTGTCCTCATGAGACATTTTGAGTGTTTTCCATATGCACGGCCCTTTCTGAGGAGGGCAGTTCCTTGTGCGAAAAGTTAAGGTGTGGGCGTAGGACTTGTCTGGTTACAACCGCCTGGACCCGGGAGCGTCAAAGCTATGAGGCTTGGACATAAGTGACATCAGTTATGGGGAACGGAACAGTTACCAGTAATAGCCCCTTGACTAGAGCACGCCATATTAGATAATAGCAAAGTGACCCAAAAAGATCCACCCTCAAGATGTATGATATGTAAACAAAAACATACAGAAAATAACGAATGTTCACTTCCGAGGAGAATTAGCCTGTAGGGACAAAAGGTCAGCTGTTGCCTTCTAATAACCATGAGCCAACGCTCCAGTTTCTCACATGAAACCAGCTGTATCTACAGAACAGTGTGGACACTCTGGGACCAAGAGGGTCCAGTGCTAACACAGCTGCCTATGTTCTTAACCCTTCCATGCCCCATAAACATGCCCCCACCGCCCCGCCCAGCCCCGCCATCTAAGACGTATCCAAGATCAATCTTTTCTTTGCAACCTGAAAGACACAATTTATAAACATTCCTATATATTATTTTGTGGAGTATTACTCTTACCTATAAATAGGCATGCTGCTGTTTAAATCATTATGATCCAGATACTCACCTTTTCTAGAAGACACAAAAACTGGTATAATCTCTTTGTCAAAATAGCCAGCTTTCTGTGCACTCTCTGTCCTGTTCTGGGACAAAACTGCAAACTTGTCCTGATCTTCTCTACTCACTTGCCATTTTTTGGCTACATTTTCAGCTGTGAAAGAAAAAATAATAAAGCAAAAGAAACATTTTCAGGAACTGGCTCTCGGTAGTTCAAGTTTTTCACATGTAAACAAGCACGGAGCGCCGAGTACAAGCAGCCTCACCGATGGGCTGCGACAGTGTTCTGTGGCCATCTTGCCTCACAGTGGCAATGAATTTGGAAACGTTGCAGTAAATCTTAGAAGCCATTTTCTTTGTTCCTGTCCTCTCTTTTCCCTTCTATATAATTTTAAACTTTCAGAAATTTCCTTTATGCCGATTCACCAACTGTTTTATATTTTTTTTGCCCCACTTACTTTATCATTCTCTCTGAACCATTTGAGAAAAATTTATAATCCTGCCTCTTTATCCCTCAATTTTAATTTCCTTGTATATTTCCCCCAAATGGCCATTTTCTTACATAAACACAGTTACCAAGATCAGGAAATTTAACATTGATACAATACTATGATCTAATTCGTGGTCCAGATTCAAGTTTCACCTATTGTCCCAATGATGTCCTCTGTAGCTAAATTTAGATGCTCAGTTCAGGGATCACACACTGTGTTACACTTAATAGTGAAACAGCTCCTCAGTTTCTTTTTATTTGAAATAGTTTCTCATACTATCTTCGTGTTTCTTAACCTGGATTTTTTGAAGAGCAGAGGCCAGTTCTTTTATCGAACGTCTTCCAATTTAGGTTTGATGTTTCCTCAAGATTAGATTAAGATTTTGCAGAAAAGCAGGCATACCACGGACATGATCTCAGTGAATCTTATCAGGATGCCTGTGGTATTAGTTCACCTCAGGTGCCGTTAGCTTTCATCACTTGGTTCAAGCCTCTCTACACGGTAAAGTTACTACTTTTCCGTTTATAACTTATCAGTAATTTATGGGAAGTTATTTTGAGGTTGCGAAAAAATACTTCTTCCTCATCAAATTTCACCTGCTACTTTTCGCATTCATGATTTTCCAACTCCAACCTTCCTTGTGTACATGTTAACTGGTGTTTTCCTTCCCTCCATGTATCATGCTGACATCAGTATGAACTCAAATATTTTTCCTTCATTTAATAAGTTACATAACCCATAACTACCATTATTTATTCTGATGTTCAAATTGTTCAAGATTCGGGCAGTGGGCGTCCTCTAAGCTGGTTCCTGAGCCCTTCTGACATGTCCCCGTGTGCTCTAAGCACTTCTTCATTTTTTGTTTTTTGGTAGTTTTATGGTTTTACTAACACAAATACAATGTGCACATAAGCTGTGTATTCATTTTCTTTGCTGTGCAGCCCGGCATTGGAACTGGGGACTCTGGTGGCCAGTAGGACTGCTCTTTCCACAGTGGCTCTGCGGTTCTTGGAGGAGACACTGTGAGCAGTCTCTGCACAGTAAGATTTGTTGCACATCAAGCAGCACCTCAAGCTCCTTGATCTTGTGGCCTAGGAACATCCAGAAGCCAATGGGCAGCATGTGCTTTGTTTTCTTGTTGCTGCCGTAACCAATTCTGGGCATGGACATTCGGCCCTTGAATCTTCTGGGCACCCCATTGTCATTGCCTCTGGGTTTCTACCAGTCGCACTTAATTTTAACATGCTAGTTTAACTGGTACCAGATGAACTCCTTGGTCACATTCCTGGGTTTCACCAGAGATCTGAAGGCAGCCATGATGCCAAGTAGGGCGCTGCCACCTCCGCAGACAGCGCCGGAGAAAAACTTTATTTTTTTTTTTAGCACTTTTGTCCTACCGTGGACACTTCTCAAAGGAACCTTAGTTCCTTAGTTCTCCTTAGTGGAGAAGGCATTTAGAAATAAAGATCCGGGTGTTAGGACTGCTCACTATTACTGGCATGTCATTGTTCCTGTGCCGGTTCATTAGGAACTTACATACACATACGATTTGCAAATGTATACACACTCATGGTGATACCTTGCATTCTCTGAGTGTAACCTAACACCACCAGCGCACGCTTCGCCCTTTCCCTTCGTGGACTCCCTCCTACAATAGTGAGAAGCCTGGCTCCCATTATCCTCAATATAGTCACTCATTTGCTCAAATCTAGAATATACACAAGGTGGTTTCAGAACTTGCTATCCCACACCACTGGGGAGAAAGCAAACCCAATAACTAGAGCTCGATATTTGTTTACAGTTCTTTTTTCTTTGATTAGGTAAAACTTACAGAGTGAAATACACAAATCTTAAGTGTATAGTTCAACGAGTTTTGACAAATGCAGGCAACCATATCTCCTGAATATGTAATATTTCCATCACCCCAGAGAGCTCTCACATGCCTCTTACCCATCTCCCCCTCCTTGAAGCAAGTAATATTCTGATTTCTGTCACCATAAATGCAACTCAGTGTCTGTTCTCAGCATTGTCATATTGTTGAGGTTATTGCTGTTTGTTCCTTCTTACTGCTGAGTGGTTGTTATGCATTCTCCTGTTGATGGATACCTGAACCATTTCTAGGTCTTGGCTCTTATGAATAAAGCTGCTATGAACTTCTTTGTGCAAAGCTTTTAGTGATCGATGTTTTCATGTGTCTTTAGTAAAGAAACTGCCAAATTTTTTCCAAAGTAGTTGTACCACTTTATGGCTGCAATGTATCAGAGTTCTAGTTGCTTCACATCCTTGCCAATATCCAGTCATTTTAATCTTCATCATTCTGGGGGTGTAGAACAGCATCTGATTGTGGTTTTAATTTGCATTCCCTGAAGTAATGATGAATCCTTTTTTTGCACTGACTGGCCATTCATCTATCTTCCTTTGTGAAATTTGTGCCTAATCTTTAGCTCATTTTTCTTTCTTTAAATTTTATTTATTTATTTTGAGAGAGAGAGAGAGAGAGAGAGAGAGCAGGGGAGGAGCAGAGAGAGAGAGAGAGAATCCCAAGCAGGTTCCGCACTGTCAGCACAGAGCGCCATGTGGGGCTTGAACCCACAAACCATGAGATCATGACCCAAGCTGAAATCAAGAGTTGGAAGCTTAACCGACTGAGCCACCCAGGTGCCCCTTTAGCTCATTTTTCAATTGGTTGTCTTATTATTATTATTATTATAGGAATTCTTATATGTATCATGAATATTTTCTCCTAATTGGTGACTTACTTTCTTAATAGTGCCTTCAGTGATGGTAAGTTTTAATTTTTGAAATCTAATTTATCTAATTTATCTTCTAAGTTTATTGCCTTCTGAGTCTTGTCTTACCCCCAGGTTTACAAGCTATTCTGTGTTGACTTCTTTGGTTTTTATCTTTAGATCCGTGATTCATCTCAAATGAGTATCTGTATACAGTGTGAGGTAGGAGCTGAGGGTCATCTTTTCCCAGTTGCTTGTGGACCCTCTTATTCCCGCACCACTCACTGTAAAGGTTTTCCTTTCCCCATTTCATTACACTGGAACCTTTGTTGAAAATTACCACAAGTCTGGGTCAGAGACAGAATCTTAAGCAGGTTCCGTGCTCAGTGTGGAACCCGACATGGGGCACAACCCCACGACCCTGGGATTGTGACCCGAGCCAAAATCAAGAGTCAGATGCTTAACTAACTGAGCCACTCAAGGGCCCCAATTTCTGTATTTTTATCCTTTCTTTTTTGGTAGTTTTACTAGCTTGCCGAAATGCAACTCTTTGTCTTTCTTGGTGTTCGAATTTTGTTTCTCACAAAATTTGGGAAATTTTCACCTATTGTTTCTTCAGTAATGTTTCTGCCTCCATTGTCTTTCTTCCAAGATTCCTATTCCATGCACGTGAGTCCAGTTTACTTTGTTCCACAGATCCCTGAGGCTCTATTCATTCTTTTCTCAATCTTTTTCTCTGTGTTCTTCAGGTCGTGTGTATTACTCTATCCTTAAATTCTCTGACCCTCTCTTCCAGTTTTTCATTAGGCTATCCGGTGGGTTTCTCATTTCAGAGTGTGGGCTTCACAGTTCTAATTTTCATCTACTTCTTTGTGCGTATTTTCCCTTCTACTGCTAAGGTTTCCCTTACATGTTCCTCAGTCGTGTTTTCCTTTATGCCCGTAAACCCGGGCAAAACAGCACCTTTAAAATCCTTGTCTGCTGATTCCAGTATCTGTCATTGTAGGGATCAGATTCTATTGACCGTTTTTTCTACTGTTATGGGCTAACATTTTCCTATTTCTGTGAATGCCTAGAAATTTCTTATTGCATGCTGGACATTACAGTCGCTATACTGTTGAACATATGCATTTTATGATCTTTAAGCAAGGGTAATGAGTTTCATTCCCATTAACATGTTGGCAGATCATACGGATCCTTTTGAAGCTTGATTTTTAAGCTTATTAGTTTGGGTCTAGAGTAGTCCTTACTCTGGGGCTAGAGCCCTACCCTAAACTTTGACCTTTCTGAGATGTCAAGGGAGTGTCCAGGGGGTTCAGTAAAGTTTCTGCTCTGGCTGGTCCGAACTCCTGAGTCTCCCAGTTCACAACTCTCTAGCAGCTGTTTCCAGCAGGTGTTGCCCTGCACACATACATCTGAGTATTTGACCAAAGTGTTGAGGAGACCCTTATGGAGACTTCCGGGGCTCCTTTTCTAGCTCCCTTCTCTCTAGTACTCTGCCCCACAAAATCTAGCCATCTCAGCAGCACCAAACTCTGACCTCTGCCTCCCTAGTTCAGTGGCCACTATTCCTCCAGGCAGAAAGTCAGGGACAGTGGGGTTTTCCCTTCTTTCAAGAATCTCAGTCTTGTGACAGACTGCAGCCAAAGTAGAGGTGGCACTGGTGTGGGCACTGGCACCACGGCTGGCTGCAGGGTGGGTGAGTCCCCTGCTCTCGTCTAGGGGAGCCCGAGAGCAGCCCTTCAGGGAGAGGACCCCAGAGGCAGGGCAAGAAACTGCCTTGGGGAGAAAGCAAGGTGCTCCTGGTAACCCACCCCTCCCTCGTCACAGGATCACGCAGGGCAGAAAGAAGGTGCCACGATGCCCTGACAGGAATCTTCAAAAATCCATCTGAACTATTTGGGATGATGCCCAAACTCGGGATCTATCACCTTCCCTGGTCAGTGCTAGCCAAGTTCCCGATGGGGGCACGCTGAGAACATTCGGCAGGCCATGCCTCTAAGACATGCCTCAATCTTGATCTACTGTGAAGGCTCAGTGTGGATCTGAGAGCTCCGGATCCTGGTCCATACCAAGTTGGTAGAGCCATTCCAAGCCCAGGTGAACTTCCTTCCTGTACCTTGTCTTTGGGGAACTCAAGCACCAGAAGGAGAGGAACAACATGTTCCTCTACATAAATCTAGAAGGGAGGGTTTCCCCAGGCTGAGGGAGGAAAGAGCTGACAGGCATCAGATGAAGGCTGCATGGGGAAGGCCCCTGGTGCTGCTCTGTGTGGAAGGAATACATCTACCCCTGTTAGAACAAGCCATCAGGGAGTGGTACCAGCAAGGAAGGGACAACAGCCAGTAGGAAATGACAGTTCCTGGCAACTGCCCCTATCCCCCACCTACTGCTGGGGCCGACCGCACTGGAAATGCCTGAGCCACTGTGGACAAGATGCAGGACCTTTCCCAGAGTGACAGCATTTATCTAAAGCTGGAGAGAAGGGGGAGGATTTGTTTCCAAACAATTTGGTTTGTTCCCAACACCATCCCTGCCAGGAGCTTGCAAGAGGCTAAGGTGTGGAGCAATGGGGGCTGAGCCCCAAGTGGTAATACAGAAGGTTCTGGAAGGTCCTCATGAAAAAAGGCCCAAATTAGGAGGAAAAAAAAAAGAATCTCAGTCTTACATGATTGTTGGCTAATATTTGAAAACAGTTGCTTGATATGTTTTGACCAGTTTTCTGTTTGTCTATATTAGGAGGTCTAGTCTTTACTAATGCCTACATCATGGCCTGAGACTTTTTCTTTTTTTTTTTTTTTTAAGCAAAAGAAATTTATTTTACATACTTCTGGAGAATAGAAGGCCAAGATGAAGATGTTGACAGGTCTGTTTTCTCCTGAGGCCTCTCTCCTTGGCCACTTTCTCACTGTATCCTCACATGGTCTTTCTTCTACGCTGCCATGTCTAGTATTTCTTCCTCTTCTTCTAAGGATGCCAGTTTGATTGGATTAGGGACCACGCTAAAGGCCTTATTTTAACTTGATTACTCCTTAAAAGGCCCCAACTGCCAAACACAGTCACATTCTGAGGTCCTGGGGGTTAGGGCTTCAACATATGAGTTTTGGAAGGTCACAATTCAGCCCAGAACACCTCAGACAAGGCTTGACGGCCTCTGGTGATGTTGACACAGCTGGAATATCACACTTGGAGAAATTCCGGCCTGGACACTATAACACCCTGTTAGGGAACACAGCCTCCCGCAGTCTGGCCACACTCTCCAGCCTTCCCCGCGGCCGCCCTCGCTTGCAGTAACAAGATGCCTCAGCTTCTCTCTGCTCCCCACGTCTCCACGCCCCTCCCTCCTTGCCTTTAGACACACTGTTCCCTCTGCTTAGAATCTTGCTCTTTCCCCCACTTTCTCATGACTCAAGACAGCAGTTCTGTTGACCTTCCAGTTGCCTGGCCAGTAAACCTGAACCGCAGACGCCTAATGAAAACCAGGTCATATGGTGCAAAGAGTGCGGTGTGAGGTGCCAGGAGTACCTGCTCACCTCTGATACCACCTCTGCCACAAAACCACCGTTTGGGGCCCTGGTCTGTTCATATGGTGAAATGGGAGGTTGATCAGAGCTCTGAAGTCCCACCCACCTGTAACATCCCGCCATAATCAAGGAGTCACAGAGGAGAGACAGGCTGTTTCCTCAGTTGGGCTCACCCGAGTGGAACTAGCCCTGCCATCAGTGATACAAAATGATGAGGACATGGTCCCTGACCTTAAAGAGGAAAGCACCTGCAGAGCTGACTATGACATGACCTTTTGGACACCTTTTTACAGTTAGTCTGTCTTCAGCTGTGTCTGTCTTACCCGTAATGCCCATATGGTAGTTGTGAAATGCATCGGTAAGCCCGTCACAGAGTATGCTGTCCATCAGTGGCATTTCCCCCATCTTGACTCCTGCCCTCAAATGAACCAAGTGAGGAGCCTGGAAACAAGAAATACAAGTGGACTTAGGATTGGCTATAACTAGTCCTCTCCTTAGGATCCCACTCAAAACTATCCAGTGGCTCCCCAGTCTTCGCCTAGTCCCCCCGGTGATCCTTCTCCCCAGTCGGCCCATCCTCCTCCCACCCAGGGCTTGAAGACCCCTGGAATCAGCACACAATTCTATCCTACCCACTCTTGAGAAGCTGTTAGTCTCCTACCTACCTATTTACCACCAAATCTATCCATTCTGTGTCCTGTGTCCTTAAAAACTCCATTTAGTCTTTCCGAAGAGGCAACTAGTTATCTGGGTTTTTTTTTAAATTTTTTTTTTTTAATGTTTATTTATTTCTGAGACAGAGAGAGACAGAGCATGAGTGGGGAAGGGGCAGAGAGAGAGGGAGACACAGAATCCAAAGCAGACAACTAGTTATCTGTTAAATGAGGAGCTAATCTAACGGCATAAGTGATCACGCTGTGTGTTACTCATTTTGATACAAGACATAATGCCTACAGTCAGAACAATCAGGAGGCCTAATTAATGGGGAGAGCTTTCTGGGTGTGGGTCCTCTTAACTCCTACCAACTCAATAGCAGCTAAGATAGAATGGAAAAACTTGGGAGTCAGAAAATTGATATTTGAATCCTGGCTTTGGGCCTCAGTTTCCTGACCTGTGGATTGGGAATGATACCATCTACCCTATAAGGGCTGTTGTGACTATATGTATAAAAGCTACAAACCTCATAAAGTACTACACAGATATTAGCATGGTCCCCTCGGAATCACTCTGATCATGTTCACTACCTTCAACTTACCTCCTCCTGGGCTGATTTGGCCCTGTCTAGGGGATCCCCAGGTCAGACCCTAAACTGCCTGTAGGAAGCTGGTGATATACTTTTTTCTTTTCACTCCCATGCCAATTTGAGGGATGGGCCTTGGGGAAAGAAATTCTGCCGAGCAAACCTATTTGAGAAGGGTACCACTCAGTGGTCCTCTTTTCCACATTCGATGTCTCCAAACGGTCAACAAAATTTAGTCCCTTGGTCCCTGGGGTCCTTCTTGTCAAGCACAGGACAGTAAGTGCAAACATCTGTTTGTTACGTTTCCATACAATGAGAAAGAAATTTAAGACCAAGGATATCAGCCAACTAATGTAACAAGTTAACTTTGGGACACACTTTATACTTTGGTAACATTTTAGGAAAAAAAAAAATGAATTCTGTTCCGATCACACTGGTTGACAGGATTTTTCTACAACCTGGATTTCTCCCCCAGCTTGGAAGAATAATTAACATCCACATAGGGATCAAGGTTGAATCCAGTTTTACTTTGTTTACTGTTTGGTCTCAGCTCTGCTATGCATCAGGTTACTCTGCTATGGCAAAATGAGTTTATTAGTGAGAGGTCAGCAAGAGTTGTTTCTTCAGAGGCCTCACCTTGCTCATGCTTTCCATGCCTCCTGCAACCACAATATTAGAGTCTCCTGTCCCTATTGACTGGGCTGCAAGGCATACGGCTTTGAGGCCTGACCCACAGACCATCTGGCAGCTCCACGCTGGAACAGAGTAAGGGATTCCTGCACCCATACTGGCTTGTCGAACGGGATTCTGCCCACAACCTGGAAGAGGGAACACAGAGACTTCTCAGCAATCAAAGAGAAACAAAATGTTTCACTGGGCTCCTGTCACTTCCCAGCCGAGCTGAAACAAGCCACGCTCCCAGCCAGACAGAAAAAGGCCTGTATACACTCTATCCTTGCCACAATCTAGCTCTTGAATATGAATTATCTTGTGCTGTTCTATATTTTAGGGATATAAGTTTCCTCTTCCACAAGGAAACGATTAATATCTTAAGAAGGAAACATTCTTCTTGATCTTTCAACAGGGTCTGAATAAGCACACATTCCCTTATTTTTTTTTTTTTT